AAAAAAGATGCCCACTCGACACTAACAGGGATGCCCACTCGACCCCGCCCCCCTGGAGTGCTCGGTTCTGACCAGTGGCAAGCTAATATGGGCCTTGTGCCAACAATGATGGGTGCGGCTGCTGAGTTGTAACTGCGACGCGAGAAAGCTCTCACGCGAGGGTAGAACAGCGCAGCTGAGCGGACAGATCGTCCGCTCACCACAGTCACCCCCACCTCACCTGCCGCCCACGGTTCTCATACCAAAGTAGCGTCGGAGGGCTACAGGGGACTCAAAATGGTAGAAGGCATCCTTCAGGTCAGCGGTGGCAATGTAAATCTCACCCTGGTGGCCCGCAAGGTCGACGCGACTCAACACCCCGGCAGTTGCAAGATTCAATTCGCTGGACCTCCGGCAATCCACCACTATCCGCAAACGGCCATCCTTCTTGCTCACACTTTCTCAAGCGGCGGCTTGTCCGTCATCTTGACATATCTTGACCAATCCGCGCTCCAGAAGCCGGCGCGAACTGCGAATAAGTGCGAGGCTCCAAAAATCTAGGATCGGAGTAGCATCGCACCAACCCTGTCCGCTTTAAATTCAGCAAGGCATCACTATCATCACTCTTGCGCAAAGCTGAATTGAGACAAAATCCTCAACGATTTTCACCCCATCGTCCCCGGGAAGGCCATGAAGATGAACGGGAGGCACTTCTCCAGCAGGCAGGCCCAGCAAACCGGGCCGCACAAAGCGGGCGGGGTTATGTCTTCCCCGTGCAGGTTGAAGGCCTGAAGCTGTCTAAGCGCCTCTCGACCATCAAGCGCCTCCTCGGGCGCCCCCAAAATCTGCACCGAATTCCTGATATGCTTCAAAGCAGCCAGCTGCGCCAAAGGAGTCAGATCTTGACCAAGCAGTGTTCCGAACTTCTCCCCACTATATACGCCATTCAGCCCCTGAACACACTCGCATACCATGATATCCTGATGCAGCCTCCGCTCCAGGGCGCTTGACGCGCCTAGACCCATCAAAGCCATGTGGAAAGGAAACAGCAAGCACCGGCAATGGAAAAAGATCCCGAAAAACTTGTCGAGTGTCTCCCGTCACACTGGGAGCACTCCCAACTTCCGCAGGCAAGGCCCGGCTCAGGGGTTTCCACCCCCTTTCTTCTTTGCCAGCTCCTGCTATTCGCGGGCTTTGCGCATGTTGCACGTCCTTCTCGACTTCTGACTTCACGTGCTCGAGGAGGGATGGCGCGATCATGAAGGTCCCTGCTTGCCTGACCAAAGATCCGAAGGTGTACTGTTCTTCCAAAACTTCAAGCTCACGGGCCCGCTCCGAGTGCGCGTACTCGATTGTCTGCACTCTGCGGAACCTCGAGTCCTAACCCCTCCAGCGCCCGATAGTCCAAACACCAGAGTGTAGTCTGCGGGCCGGGAATCTTCCAGCCCATATCCAACTCCTTCGATGCTGCCACTACCTCTCAAAGGGGCCTTTGAGGCAAACTCAAAGCATTGAAGTGCCGAGCCAAGATCCTTCCATCACAGGCGGCTGGCGGTTGAAAGTGAGTCGCCCCCCTTCCTGGATACACATGCAGGCAAGGCCGCTGCCGTCCGGCATTCGTTGCACAATCTTCGATTCCACTGCAGGAGCGTTGATCCCGGCCACTTGGTCGCCGTACTTCACTGTCGCGGCGCCCTCCGCACCAGACCTTGTCCAGTGAGGTCTTGAGCCCCATGGCCCAGCGCTGCGCAGCCACCACCGCTGGAGGACCAGCAAAGCCAGTGCTCCCAGCCCTCCAAGGCCTCGACGAGCAAGTTCTGCTTTGAGCTCCACGCGACCAGCGCGCATCAAGGTTGCATATTGTGCCGCAGTACGCCGCAGTCATCGGACAGAACCCGTACAACTGATTCGCCGGCACTCCTCAGCGAGCCTTCCGTCGGGAGCGCGCCACATGTACTGCAGATCCGGGTTGTGCTGAACCAGTTCCTCGACATATATGTCTTGATCTGGAGTTATGATCATCCACTCGTCGCCTTGAGTTTGCCCGGCCAACAATCGGGTATGGATCACACCCTGGTCCCCATGGTAACGGAGATACACAACCTCACCAGCCTGCATCGCGATTGTCAGAAAATTCACGTATCGGTAATCCGATACCCTTTCGGAGCACCGTATACTCCTTTTCCGGAGTTACCTTTCACCGACAAAGTGAATTCCCTGAAGTCCAGCCTCGTCCCTACGAAACGAGACCCGAAATGCCAAAGCAAGGTTTTTCGCCAGCAGAACCAATACTCCAATTCCAGCCAGCCGGAACCACAAGCCCTCAGAATGGCCTCTCTCAGACGCTGCCACCGAGTGATCGGGCTCTTGAAACCAAAGACCCGAGAGCAATCCGCTCGCGGCTATTGCAACATGAGAGCTGTCCATGCTCCGAGCTTTTGATCTTGAAAAGTAACAGACGTGCACAACGTCGGCCTTGTGCACATGCCTTCGTTGTGCGCTTGAAGGAACTCTTCAACGTTGGGACCTCTCCAAACCTTGGGAATGCCTGACACCACGTAGACCTGGGGTTTAGGGGGGCTTTGACTTGCGTACCTTCAGGCTAGCTAACCCCTTAAGGAGGCCTTACCTCCTCTCCTAAACATCAAACCTAGGTTGGAAACTCTATCTCTGCCTCGGCTCTGCAAACACGTTGCTGGTAGGCAAAGTGCGTTTCAGAATCTTTTTGTCGTATCCACTCAACAGCAGGCCTCGTGGCATGGTTCGTGAGCTGCTCAAGGAACATACCGTTCTGTCCAAACCTTTTGGCTACAGGCCGGGGAGCGCATCGCTATGGCGATGCGAGCGCCTGCGACACGAGGACAATCGCCATCATCATCCAATGAAAACGAAGTGTCGCAAAAAGGCGCTCTTGCGGAGCTGCGACAGCGCAAAGCTACAAAGCGACTTCGCCCGCCCCGGCGAGGCGCCAGAGGGCAGCAACGACTGAAGTGGACGGATGTGGACGATGCTGCCATTGCTCCGGCGGTCAGAAGGCTGACCCCGATTGCTCAATGTTACAACGCACACAAGTGTGCTAAAAGACAACTCCGGCAAAGTCCGTGTAGAAGCTCGGAGGCTCGGAGAGAGGCTCATTGATACTGTTGGCGAAGTGCTTGCGTTGTTGATATGAGCGGCGCCAAATACCTAGAGGCCAGCCTTCCATCATGTTATATTGGACATGTTATCAAGTTGTTTTACCTTTGTCGTTTTTATAACACAGCTTGCTACGTTATCGTTTGTTTTACCCTTATCGTTTTCCAATGATCGGCACACGCCGAGAAATTGCATCGGTGCTATTCACGGTAGAGTCCAGTACGGGCTTTTTGTCCCAGCTCATATGGCTTAGCAGCTTCAATCGTGCACTTTCAGGCCCTTTCTGCAAAAAGGTAAATACTACGTTGTGTAGCGCTGCCTCTTGTATTTGCCAGGAGGATTGCCGCGGTATGTTGAGATAGTCACGTATTATGATTCCAAAGCGTCAACCTAGTTACTTGCACACAATGACTGGCACAGCGACACATTACACATCAAGGCGAGATTGCTGTCCTCTTCAAGGCTGTTTCTTTCGGCTGCGATCTTTCGCATGCAGGCCTTCACTTGAGACTTCGGCACCTGGGCTCGACAGAATTCATGTTAGCTGGCAAATGGCACTGGCATTCAAGGCCACTTGCCTCCAGGCTGATCTCGACCTCTTGAAGGAGCTTGTGACTTTGCACAAGATGATCCTCTTCAGGAATGGCAATCCGCAGCTCTGGATTTGGGCGGGTCCCGTCCTCGTGGACTCTTTGCAATCGTTTGAACACATTCGCAAGATTTTCCTGCCTTAGCACTTACACGGCATACTGCGACCCTCTCCGTGCCCTACGACAGCCTACTGCATCCTGCCACCACAGTCATGGAAACGAGCAAGATGCTGCACCCAAGCAGCGGAGAAACAGAAACAACGTCATCATCCAAATGTGCAGCCGCATCGTGCCGTGGAGGCGGACCATCTGAGACCACACCCAAGAACGCGACAAAGCTTGCAAGGCATGTGCTAGAGTACGCAAATTGATACCATGAGGTCCCAACTTGGAAGGATGCTGGAGCTATCGGACTTCAGCGCATCCTTGCAACGTGTCGCAGAAAATGCAAACAACACCTCTCCTGAAAAAACTGCATGGCAGCAATGCCTACTTGGAAGTGAACTTACCATGGCTTTCAGTGACACGTAGTGCTTATGGCTCCTTAAGTAATTCCCGGACGTCTGCTGCAAAGATTCTGTTGCAGATGCCAAGCGCTCTCCCGGTCCAACACATCGCTCGCAGGATGCCAAGGCACCCATCACTGCATCGGATCAAAGTAATCTATGCAAGTTGAATTGGTCTTTCGCGAGTACTTGCCAAATGCGGCGTCCGTCACATGATGCCTCCCAGATGACTACAGATGTGGCAAACCACCCTGCCACAGACCGATGTGCCCTGATCTTATGCCAACTGAAAGCAGCATGCCGGCCCGAGCTAAATTTGCTGCAGCTCATCAACCTCCAAGACAGAATGCTGGGCAACTTCTAGCAACTTTATATCATCCTTGCACAGGCTCAGTCAGGCTGGCGGCATATGCGAGAACAGCGACAATCATGCAAGGCGGCTACAACTTGGAGGCAAAAGTATACCAACCCGGCTCTTTCGACAGCAACTGGCAACTACACCACAAAGTGCAATGACAGCTGAGTGCCAGCAAAGCACTGACAAAGCGCCGCGAAACCTCGCGACTTATCAGCTTCGTGGGGCGCCGGGCACCTCCAACACTACGCTGTTCCCTGCATGTCAGGACAAAAGTCCAATTTGGAGATCTGCTCACCTGACATAAGGAATGAATTAGGAGCAACCAGCTAAGGCCATCAAGATGGCTTCGCCTTCTTCGCCTTCTATGCCAGGTCGCTGATGGAAAAGAAGGAGAACTCGACATCTTTCTGCCCATATCCTGAACACTCTGGGCTCTGATCCTGACCTTGGTCACAAAGTCCCATCCTGGTTTCGTCAGGGCCACGCCCATCCAGCCAGGTCATTGTTGGGGATTTCCAATAGCTGACAATAGGAGTCATGCCTTTCTCCAAGGTTCTACCGAGGAGATCAAGCATGTCCTCGCCTGCAATTCTCAGAAGTAAGCAGTGCAAGCTTAGCACAGGCAGCCCTGATGCCTGTGCCGGGATCCTTGTACTCTGAAATCTCCAGGAACAATTCGCAGTTTCTCCTCAGCTTGCAGGGCTTCCCACCCCTTCACGGTAAATTGAGTCGAATCATCAATTGCCGCAGCGAACCAAGCATCTGTGCCGAGAGCTGTAACAGAATCACCTCCATGGCACGCAGCTTTCCATGCTCGTCCACAGGGAATCGAGCTGCAACCTAGCAGGGTCTCGAAAAGGTTGGAGGTCATGTCAACTTCAGTTCCAAGACTGTGTCGGGCCTGGAAGGGGTGGTTCGTGTCGATGCAGCGTGCCCCAGGTCCATACCTGGCACGCGCAATTCTGGCAAGAGCAATTAGAAAAGCGGACTTGTCCAGATGTGGGGCTGTTCTTCTGACCAGTCACGGGGCCCGGTCCAGCTTGAACCTGGACACTGCAAATGCAAATTTGGATCTGCCCTTCTTTGGTTCCAGGTTTTCTTCTTGACAGAGGTTGTCTGCTCGTGACCACATGCCAAGCTTTGCTTTACCTGCCTCCTCCACCGAAGCCTGCTGTGGGAAGCTGTTCGTTGGACACTCCGGAGTGAAGTGTTGAGCGGAAGGCATATTTGTTAGCCTCCATGATGTCAATCTCCGGGCATCGAATGCCACAAACACTCATGGCATCACAGTAGTAGTCCCCACACTCCGTCTTCTCAAGTGTGTACGACATGGATGTCAAGTAAAATGCCGCATTGCAACCTGAGGCAGATCTGCAACAAAGTCATGTTTGACACAACTTGAGCTCAGTTCGAGGAGCCACAGCCAGCACTAGAGAGGTCAACCGTGAACATCAGCTGCTTGCCCAGCAAATTCTCCGCCTACAGCAAAGCAGCTCCGGCAGCAAAGCGCGAAATGCTTGAAACGCTTCATCATCTTGGTCTGCTCTGCAACCAAGGTTCCAAGTATTCTTTGGGATCGTACTTGCTGCTGGAGCCTGGAGTGCAGATTGTTTATATTTCCTGCGATTGAGAGCGCCTTCTCCGAATTGTAAGCAGTAAGCAGTTGAACATACTTTCCGACGTCGTGCGTGAGTAACCGTCTGTGCCGGGAGCAACAGCGCGATACCCCAGCAGCTAGCATGCCCGCGCGGGCAGGAAACGGCATCATGCGTACAGTTCGTGTGAGGTGTTCACGCTGCGTTCTGCCTGGCCCACTTATTTCAAGCAAATCTACAGCTGCTGAGGCCTCGGTCCCAAGCAGGCAACCACAATATATCACAGTAGTGTGCCACTGAGGCATAAGCTAAGATAGTTGGCCACAATAGAAGGATGTCAACCACAAAGGTCACCAGCAGGGGCAAATTGCAGCTTCAGAGGGCCGCGCAGGAAGTCCCGAAGTAGGCCCTGCCGGTTATTGGCACAACGATGGAGGAGCTAAGCGCTTTGGCTGTAGCTGCTGCCTCACCTGTGCGTGATGCGTTATTAGACCGTCTCCGAGCTTGGTGATCGGCATCCTGCCTTCAACGTTCCAGAAGGCACTGATGATTTGGACTGCGCTGCCAACGAACCCTGCAGCCTTGGCTCCGCCGGTCGTACAAGTTTGAGGCTTCCGCAACCTAGTTGCAAAAGCTGCATGCCATGAAGTTGTGCTAGGCCAGAGGCTGAGATGCTACCTGCGCACTTTCCGACCTTGCATGGTGATGGCGGGGGGGCAAAGGTTTGCATACTGCCGGGTCAACGTCACAGCTTCTGGCTGGCTCCCCATCCTCATCCAAAGCAACGGCTGAATCCATGGATGACGTCACCACAAGAGTTGCGACAGATGCATACCTGCAAATTGATGGAAACACTTCAAGTCAGCGCGATGCTTCGCTTAAACCTACCCCTGCCTGCAGAGGACCAGTAGGCATGCGCTGATCACTAGACATAGCAGCCACTTTGTGGCCTCATCGGCGCATAGAGTCTTTGGCTGGACGCCAGTGGTCGAGAACTCACATGCCTTTTTGCACGGCGCGCGCTCAGCGACGGAGGTTGGCACAAGCTCCTGTAACTCCTCCGACAAGGGTCGGGCACGAATCAGACTTACGATGGATGAAACTTGTATACTGCGGCCTGTCCGGCCGGCTCATTCATCAGCGACTGCAGTAGGCTCTGCCCGTGTCACCGGCGAGGCCATGTCCCTGCCTGCCTCTCTGCAAGGCACTGAGCCCATACCAAACCAGGCAACTTCGTCACAATGGAAAGCATGAGGATGTATCATCCAGCGCAGGCTTTGCATCTACGAGTGCTCTTTTGAAGCCGTTCAGGCTATCCAGATCCAAACAAACTCGAACACATCTACCCAAGGTGCCATTGCGCTTTGAGCGTATGGCCTCCAGCATGCATTCGGGGCTTGCAGGAAGCATCTTACACGTCTAAATCTCCGGTTGCTGGGCAAGGGTTTCCCTGAACCCACATGTCACACTTCGTCTGCTTCTTTCTCCGCATGCGGGGCTCCTTGTTTCAGAAGCCCTTCTGCTGTAAAAACAATTTTGCTAGCTAATGTCCTGTACGGACATGTAGCCACGGGATGACCCATGACTAGGGAGCTGCTCAGCTGGCGCCTCTTTCGGCGAAGGAAAAGCCCAACGGTGGAGCTCTTCCTCATCAATGTCCGGGGGATCGACAATGCGCACGTTTCTGGGCCCTGCACAGTTACCTATGGTGTGACGTTGGCTCGCATCTGGCCGCAGATTTTTGGAGCCTTGCCTTCTGTCGGGAACACCCACAGTCAGCAAGTTGCTTGAACTGCTCCGCATGTCTGGCTGAGCGGAGGCTTTGGAGCCATGCCTGCTTCCGCTGTAGGTGCTAACAGTCAAAACGTTGCTGGAGCTGACAACGCCTGGCCGAGCTGAAGCTTTTGATCCTTCTCGACTTTCTCTGACACTTGTTATTGTCAGGACATTGCTTCGCACGGAGCCTTTAGATCCATGCCTGGCTTCTCCCGACTCGGCTGCATCCAAACGATCAGGGCGAACAGAACTCTTGGAGCCATGACGGCTAGCCCGGCCAGCATCTCGGGCCCCAACTATGACCTCGTTGCTTGTACTTTCGACCACTGACTTTGCAGAGTCTTTTCCATAACGTCGGCAGCAGAAGCACACCACACAGCAGCAGGGAACAAGGACAATCAGCGAGGCAAGAAACGCATCCACTATCCAAATGGATAGCCAGTGCCTCAACTGTTGCTAGCAGGGCTGATGATAGAACTTCAAAAAATCCACAAAGACTTGCTTTACTTCTTGCATGCCTTGGATGCATGAAGGATGTTGCGTTCCACTCCACGTCACACTGTTCCTGCCTTACAGATGCCTTCTGTTTGGTGGTCCAACCCTCGGGGCACGGAGCGCATTTTGAACATTCCCGCTTGTTTTCGGATAACGATGCGCAAGGTGGTTCCGGAGGCCGGAATCTCCCAAGAGGACAGGCATGGCAGGTCTCAATGCTGAAGACTAACACATACTCTTCGACGTACTCCCCGCCGTCCAGATTGCACTCCAGGCTTTCTGAGGGAAGCACAAAAAACAAAACTAGCAGTGGGAGCGACAGGTGCAACCATCCATGAGGCATGGCTACTGCAGCTTGGGGCTCATGTCTTCTATGCTGCACTTCCTGCGCTCCCTAGCAGGAACATTTGGCACGGCTGCGAGTAAGGGCAAAACATTGTCTCATCAGAAGGTAGCATTCCAGTGCCCAATGCCCGACATATGAGAACAGCTGCAGTATGCGCTTGGGTTCTAAGACTCAAGCATGTTTTTTGGTTACTCTGAGCTGTTCTGCCATGTCTGCATCGCACCCCCCTTTGTTGCTTGTTGCCGTGGCTGTCCATTGCTCGGTCTGAAACTGACTTTAACATGCATTCGCTCCGAATACATAGCAGACGGTTCCGGCTTCGCCGGTGCGTCCTGCGGTGAAACCATAGTAAGGATCCTATTCACTACTCGTATCTCTCCAATCTCTGTGTACCTCCGCGCTTTTAGCAAATTATGGCACACCTTCCTTCACTTGCATCTGCACTCATGACTTCCAGACCATTTCCGCGCTGCATGAGGCATTGGCCAGGCAAGCAAACTGGCAAGTTAGATGTTGGCGTGACTGACAAAAGCACTCCCTGGCTCCTTCCCTCGAGGACCTTCTGCTCTGCAACCTGCTGTTCCAAAGGCAAGTACGGAACTGGAGAGGTCATATGCGGCATTTGCCTTCGATGGATTTCAGCTAACAAGCCGTCAAACTCAAGACAGCCCGAGTCGAAGCCACCCACACGAGGTTGTCCTGTGGCATTTGTCCAGATTGGAGCACGGAAGTGAGTGCCGAGGCGCAGAATGGGACAGTATGTGTCAGCGGAATAAATCCGAGAGCAAAGCCGGGCCCCGGCCGCCCCATCCCTGCGAATCTCGGCAGCCAGATTTGCAGGAGTTAGATGGAAGCTGCCGGGAACCAGACGACCATAAGCTGGACTGTCCTGCCAGTTCCACATCACTGTACCAAGCCTGCCAGGCACCTCAGTGCCTGACTGAAGGGGGGGCGGCAAGTCAATTGCATAGGTGTCCGGCACGATCTGGCTGACAGCGAAGTCAAAGCGCATCCCAGCTTCTTCAGCCTGCGCTGTGCTATTGAAAGCCTGGATATCCTCTGGGGTGCCGAAGCTCAACGGCAGGCATAACTCCACCGAGTTTTCGATGGTTTGAGAACTGCGTACCTGCACGCAATCGCCAATGATCTGACCAAAGACCTCTCCCTGAGCATTCGCAACGACGTTGCGGCAGTCGAAAGTCGCTAGATCAAAGGAAGAGCCACTGTTGGTCATATCTGTGTTGTTCTCAAGATATTCTCCTGTGAGAACCTCAGCTGGCGCCCTTTCTGGTTTATACCTTATGACACCTTGCATTTGTAATGGAAAACATTAAACGCATAAGGAAGGAGCATAAAGGGAAGGAGATGGGAGCCCGGAGGCAGCATCAGCAGCCTTTGCTGCTGCCTCCTGAGCCCGGAGCCGCTCTTGGCGCCTCGTCTCTTCCGTCGCAGCCAGCTTCTCCGCCAGCTCGGCAGCCGCCTCCGCCTCTGCCTCAACATCGATGTCCAGCTTGATCATTTCATTGATGATCCAGGCAGGATAACCTCCACGGATGCCACCAGCATCGATTGTCTCCATGCTGGCTGGCGACAATGTGGTGGTGGTATCTTGGACAATCAAATACTCCAACAAATAATTTCGGACAAGGCTAGACCTTCCCGGCAATGCAATTTGTGGAGCGGCTGCTCCCAACATGTACTCAAAAGGCACCAGGCTGAGATCGTAGGTCACTGCTGGCCCGCTGGCCTCCCCAAATCTTGATGCACTGTATTCATGCCAAGATAATTGCACATCCCCAACAGATCCAGAGCTGATAAGCCCCGACGTCGACAGAATCTGCCCCAATTCGAAGGCCCCTGAAGGCAGCTGCAGGGTCGCTGCAGCTGCAAGCTTGTCCTCAAGCATCTCTGCTCGCTTCACTGAAGAATCCATAACGTCAGATCCATCCCCACAAGCAGCCGCGAAGAGCTTCAATGATGTCATCAAAGGCTCGACCATGCTTACGGCCGCGTTGAGCCTCTGCTGTCCAAGTCTTTCCTCCAGCGCGTTTTCAAACAGTCGCCGCAGGATGTCGATGTCCACAACTTCTACCCAACGATTGATGCTGCCCCAGCGGCGGCTATACCAACCTCTCTGCGGTGACTGCAAATCGCCTCTTTTCCACACGCCAGCGGTCCATCGAAAAACCTCGACCCACTGCCCTCCACATTGCGAGCACTCAGTCTGTTTTTCTCGTGCCAAGTCAGGGTTTGCGTCTGCATCGACCGCGTTGTTGGTGAAGAGCTCACACCGGTCACCCCTCTGTAGCAAACAGCAGGCTTTCCAACGGGCACAGGCAGTCGGACTCACGGAGCGCTCTATCCACACAGCTTGAAATGGCGGCGCGAGTGGGTTCAGAGCCTCGCATTCGGATTGGTTCAGCTTCCCAGCATCACGGAGCCGTGTGCGAAGGATGTCCGTGTCTGTGGTCTCTGATGCCAACCGCGCCTCCTGCAGGGAAGCGGCCCAGGCAGCAGCGTCTTCAAGCTCCGTGCCGACGTCTGAAGTCAGGTTCGACAAGTCCATCAAACCATGGCGCCGCCGGACCTCCATGCCGAAGGCAGGATCCAATCGAAAGAAACAAAGTCCATCTGGAAAGCTACTAGCACCTCCAATAGAACACCCTTGCTGCAAGAGATTGTCATCCAGGGGGGTGATCACACAAGTTCCTGGGCTTGCCAAGTTCAAGCCGATGTCAGCATCACTGCAGTGGCCGGACATTTGACAGTGATCTGCTGTCTGGCATGGCCGTACACTTGCATAGCAGCCCATGAGTCTGGCTAAGGGATCCTCCTCACAGCTTGCTTCATCAAAGTTTTCACAGCGCTTCAGGGAGAACCCCGGTCCCATGCAATAAATCATTGGACGGTGGCGGAGGGCACAGAGCCTCTGGAATCGCTTTACACCCATCCGTTCATCAAAAAGCTCTCCTGCTACTATCACTCCACCAAGGCTGTTGCAATTGGCCACATCAGATGACACACACAGGCCATTGTCCTGAGTGGCAAGTGAGGGGGAAGCACAGAAGGTGCAAGATGCTGTGCAACCGTATGTCAGACGGCACATCAGGTCATCCAGGATCATCTCATCGACGTCACAGCGATCCACACGGCAGCTCGTACGGTCATGAAGGATGGCAGGACGCCACTCTGTCGGTTGGTTGAACTTTGTTAGATCATCTTCCGGACCTTTGCATTCCAGAGTGGCCAGTGTGGCTGTCCAGCTCTGGACACGGTTGTCAAACTCTCCCTTCAGAACAAGCTGCACGCTGTGCTTGGCCAGCAATCCTCGTAACACTGTGCTGAAGTCCGTCGCTGTGTTGAAGGTCTGCGGCCACTGAACTTTGAAAATCGCGGATTCCGCGTCACCATCTTCAAAGAGAGCGCTCCAAAAGCTCTGCGGCCACCCAAGTGCTTGGAGTCTTGGCCTCTCAAAGACATCTGTTTCCGCAGTTCTGGAGGGCAAGAGCGGGGGGGGATAGACATCACGATTGGCGCCTCCGAACATTTCACGAGGATCTGGCATCCTGTAGTAGCACATTCCCAGACCGCGGTTCCCAAAGAAGTCCACGCGAATGGATGCTCCCTCACGAATCAGTTGCCGTGTCAGCTCAGTTGGCTCCATTTTTTGATTTCGGTCCAAGATGGCTAGGCGCCTTGAGGCATAATCAGCTAGGTGCTGCAAGCCCGTCGAGTTGAGCCTTGTCCTGCCAGACACATGGTAAGCTGGTCCCTGAAGCCTTCGTCCGGTCCCAATCGGAGCCAAAGACATCTCAAAGTCTTCCAGGTAAGGTAGCGTGCCGGTGTCATATGCTCTTTGAAGGCAAAGCCCGAAAATTCGCTCATCATCAGCCATATTCGACGCGGTGGCCGGATCATACATTGTTGCCTGCAACTTGCGGCCGCAAATGTTGCTGGTCAGCTGGCACAAGTGGATATTCCTTTGAAACCAAGGGGGGGGTGCCCACTGTGATCTCCCAGGCCACACAGCCCTGCAAGTTGCTTCGTTGTTGACCAAGTTGTTGATTACCTCGGGTACAACTAAGGCCTGACCACCTCCGCAAATGCAGCAGGCTGTATGAGCATCCACGCCACTTGTTCCTAGCTTGAAAGGTCCCCAGGTCAAATCCCAACCCGGACCGTAGCCAGTGCGGTTACACCATTTGAATGTCTCGTAGGTTGTGCACGGGTGCCCATCAGAATCAACCCAGTCAAAAGGATTATCACTGCAGTCGACTCCTCCACCGCAATCGCAGCAGACATCAGTGGCAGCTAGGCCACTGGAAGAAAAGTCTGCAAATGTACGAGGTGGATTGTAAACCCAGTTGGTGCCGTAGAGGCCCTGCTGAGTGCATAAGCTGTCCACTACGTACGTCGGACAATTGCGGCCTACACTGTCCACCCATCCGTGCACCATGTCGGAGCAGCCTGACACTTCAGTGGTCGTGCAATCAAATCCACCTTCTTCATTCTTGGCCTTTGCATTGCAGAAGTCATTGCAGCATGCCACGCAATATTCGCAAACATCCCGGATGCGAGCGGAACTGCCCTGTGTGCAATTTGGAGCCACGATTCCGGAAAAGCGCTTCATGGAGTCGCTTAGGGGAGCGTCAAGAACTCCAGGGACCACTTCGGCAGGAAGGCGGCCATATGCAGGGAGAACGTCAAATGCGCGGCAGTTCTCACTGCAGTCGCAGTTGCAGAAGTCACAGGTCTTTGGGCGGCAAGTCTGCCAGTAAATGAATCGATCTTTACCCACAATCCTTTGCAAGTTGCATCCGCTACCGACATAGGTTTCATCCACTTCACACCAGCGACTGTTCGAGGAGACATCGAAGTAGCAGTCGTTGATGCTTTCTTCTGACGGAGCCCCTGGATACTGATACCTTACGCTCCATTCTTCTTTGCAAGGGCATTCGATTAACCCTTCAGTGGGGCAGTTGTTGTCGATGCTGTCTTGCAATCGCACACATGCATCAAGTCTGCCACAGCCACCGCCGCGGTGTGTCGGACAAGGGTCACACAGCCCAGGGGGCGGGTTGCCTCCATAAGCAAGTGCACATGTTTCGCAGCTGAAGCAGTATTGGCCAACAGGGCACTGACTGTGTGCCGCACATCCTTCGCCAACAGGATGGCAGCCTCCCCCACTACCGCTGCGAAGCCAAGCCCAAGGCACCTGGCGGTAATAGATGTCACCATCTTCCCAATCTACACGGGCCAAATCACTTCCAAGGTCTTCAGCCAAAAAAGCTGGGTACAGTTGGAGGTTGGGAGCCCAGATTGCCAGAAGCTTCTCCCCAATGCTGCAGGATGTAGTGTTTGCTTGGGTGCAAAATTCGCAGGCGCCAGTGGTGAGATTTGCCGGCATGAAGCAGCATGTGAACTCAGTCTTCGCTCTGCAGGCTATGGATGATTCGGCTGTGAGCGACAACGGGCCCATGTCGCAGCCAGTAAACCTTGGTGGCTCGGCTGTGGAGAAAACCTCATTCTCTCGCCGCTGGCCCTCGGTGCGGCGAAGACGGGCTGCATTCTCGCTGCTCTCACGGGACACGCGATTGAGCAGTGCTGCTCGCTCAGAGGCCAAAGACCGAGGTGGCTTTGACTGCTCAAGCTCCTGCCACAAGCGGATGGAGCAGTAGCGGGGACGCCGCTCCTTTGGCAAGTCCACGGTCAGGGCACCTGCCCAGTTCTCGTCAACGTTCTCCGCACCCAACGGCGGGCTATAATGGACAGTAGCATCTCCAGGTTTCCTGTAGCAATCCTGGTCGGTCTCATTGGGCCAGAGCTCATGGAAGCAAACCTCACGATTTATTGATGGGTTTGGGCCACTAGGCATGACGCAGGAGTCATAGCAGCCCTGGAACTCTCTTCTCATGTTGTCATTGCATTTCTCGTCGGCCCAAAAGTAGGCAGCCCTTGGCGTACAAGGTGATGATATGCAATGTCTAAACATGTAGCTGTGCACGTCTGCCAGGTTTCGGCATCTCCTGAGTTCCACAGCGCTGGTCGCGATACTTGCGCATGCAAGTTCCAAGGGACGTAGCATTTCCCGTGCATCTGTGCAGTAATCGGTGTATTTCGCGCCCGTGATGCAACCGGCTCGCCTGCTCTGCTGTGGGCAGCTGCCCTCAAGACAGCCACAGAATTCGTCATTCTGAAACTGCTCTGCCGTGCACTCTGCGGCAGTTCTAATTTCATGATGCCAGTTGCAGCCTTCCGAGCTAAGGCACTCCTCCCTTGAAACAGCCCGTCCTGGAGTTGCAAGAGGCCCAACGCAAACACTTGTCATGCGCGACCTGTCGCTGGCTAGAGCGGTGGCGATGGTTGCCTCGTTTCTGTTGGGCACTTCAAGCCCTAACTGTGCAGCCAGTAGCTCCACAACCTCCTTGCCCAAACGCCGAGCCAAACAACGCACGATGTAGACATGGCGGCTCTCTGAGGGAACGGTGCAGCGCCCCAGCACAAGCGTCTTCACTCTCGAGCCCTGGCTAAGTGCGACCCGAACTTGCAGGCTTTCCAAGACAGGCTTCCGGCACCGCGTGAAACAGTCACTATCGATCAAACACGGCGAGCCAAGGTACATGCCCGATTCCCGATCAAATCGACCCATGACGTCGGCATGGCACTGCTCGACGGACCTCCACATCGCTGCATTTGCCTGTTCATGGAGTGCCAGCTTCATCCAGCTTAATTGAAGACCAAGCGGCTCTGTCAAGCGTCGTTTCCACGCCATTGCAGCTGAGATAGCTGCCTTTGGAAAACTTGCTCGCCCGCTCTCATCCTTGCGACAGCCAGCCATTGCATTGTAGTCCACTGACATCAAAACAGATTGTTGAATTGTCTTTGTCTGTTTAGCACAACATTGCCAGCGCAGCCTCTGCAAGTTGCAGCAAGGATCGAAAACAAAGTTTTCGTCCTCTGGATCCTTTGTGCAGCTTTGCGATTCCAGAACAACTGAGCGGGACTCAAACCGCAGACTTCGCTCCATCATAGACCAGCACCCATTGACCGCATCCATTGCAGTGTATGAGACAGCCCGCTCACGCATGTTGTGTGATCGAAGCCGGAGCTGCCACCGGTACACACTACATGGCATTGCCATCTCAGGTGTTGGAGATAGAAAGTCATTGCGATATGCCAAAACACCAACCCGCCGATGGCGAGTTGACAACTCAGTTGTGGTGTAGGGCGAATACGTCTCGTTTGCCTGGCCTTGGTCTCCCCACACATAACCTCGCCCAGATGTGCCACCAGGACCACCGCTTCCACGCGGAGGGAAAGTTGTCCTCCAGTCGGAGACGCAATGACCGTGCTGTCGACCCGCTGTGAGGACTTGGTCCATGACTGCTTTCATCTGGCGGTGGGCTGCCTCGAGGCTGTCAGGATTGCATGGGAACTTCCGCTCTGGGAGAGCTCCGACACTCTCCACGCTTTCTGCAGGCTCGCCTCTTGGACCAACTAAGTAGGGCAAATCCAAACGACAAGGGGCCAGCTCTTGCAAGGACAGTCCCAGCTGCTTGGTGCGTCCGTTCTTGGTACGTCTCACTGGCAACAAGAAAACGGCGCGCCTTGCACTGTAGGACTTCGAGGCATTGGCCAGCAATCTGTCAATGCTTTCAACACCAAAAGCAGTCTCAAACCTCTGAAACCAAAGAAGAGAATTATCCAATGGCGGCCCATTGATCCCAAAACGTCGGATCCTGGCTAAGGCTGGAGTCATATTGGCCTCATTCGGGCATTTGATTGATGCCATGAGCGCATCAAATTTCCAGATCGCTGAAGTATACATAAGAGGAGTGTCTCTCACTCCGTGAATGAAAGCTGGTCTCCGATCAGTCAAGACATTAAAGCCCTGATCGCCGGGCCAGGCCTGCACCTTCAATTGCATTTCTTCAAAACTGATACCGCAAATACATTCTGGCTCTGATTGCAGCTTTGGCAACAACTCAGGGACGTAGGGATAGCGGCTAAACGCTGCTGACAGCGTGCAGCCCGGTGGACAGCTTGCACATCGATCTGCTTCAGCAACGTGCAGGCCACGCAGCTGAGAACAGCTGATGGCATAGACTGGCGCAGAGAAGTGCAAGTCAATCTCAATGTATTCGAGAACCTCGTTCTGAATCATGATTCGCCGCTCTGCTCTTGTAGCATGCAAAATCTGTAGGCGGTCTTGCTCCATCTGTGATGATGTTATCACTAAGAACAATGCCAGCAGAAGTCCAATGTGGCTCAGATGCCCCTGACACATGAAGTTCATGTTGGAAAGCCTTTGTACAGCGGGGCGGCTTCTGCCACTTGGCCGAGAATTCAAGGCCATGTGTGCTTCACCTGTTCTCCATCCTCTGCAGACGAAAACTCCCAGGGAGTGCCAGGAGGTTTCATTGCACCTGCTACATGACTTCTGAGTCAACTTCCGGTGTTTGGATGCTGGCAATTTGAAACTCCATTTGAAACCCTTCCAAGCATATACCATCTTGCCTATTTGGTGAACCATCATCTGATTTGTCTTTTTGAAATTGGGATTGCAGTAAGCCTCATGGCTATCAGAGAGCTGCATCTCAAGTGGTCGGCAACCAAGGACAGAATGCTTGCTTGAAAAGCTTGTGACAGTCATGACAGACACTTCAAGAGCCTGTTGGCAAGAAATGCAATGGAAGGAGAACACCCAAATACTCAGCCCTCCCTTCAATTGATTGCAGCTGTGCAGTTAGGGAGGCATGTCGAACCCGATACAGCAGCTCTTTACACAGAAGCGAGGCCAAAAAAACTCTGACCCAGTGCTGGCTGCTTGAACTGACCCTGCCCACAGGCAAAGCTGGAGGCAAAAATAACTCGCGGAGTTGACCAGCGCTATGAAGCTGGCAAACACCATGAACTTGCAGTAACTCTGACACATTGCCTTTTTTCGTTCTGCTGCTCAGTGCATTCCAGGGCGGCTATGGCATCAGCAGCAGACGGAAGCTCGTCTTCACTGACTTCCACCTCGTGTTCTTCCTGCTCCTTGATATCGTCTTCGAGCACCTGCATCCTCTTTACCTGGCGCATGGCTTTTGTGGCTATGTAATTGGCGAACCACCACAACCCATACAGATTGCAGGCCTGCGGCATGGGTGGGGTGTCAACTCGCCGCCGCTTGAATGGCCTATGATGCTTCCAGAAGACAAGCGTTTGCCTCTGTTTTGCACTGCTGCTTGAGGCACATCTCCACCCGATACAGGAAGCGGTAGTCACTGCTCTGGCCACCTGCGTGCGAGACCATGCGGCCCTGTGGTACTCCATGATCACGAGGCGAGCCGTGGCCTAAATCCGTCCCTTGCTGCTGTTTGGGTTTATGTGGCCAAACTTGTTGCGATGCTGACACGGGCGCAGCTCTACAATATTGCACAGCGCGAACCATTGCGATGGAGTTGATTTCAAGCCTCAACGCCTCATTTCACTCACTCGGCGTGTCAGTGTGAACTGCTTTCTCGCGCACGCGAAATGCCGGACCATGAGCTCATTCCTTTGCTGTCGCGAGTCGCGAATACTATCGCAAGGAGAATGTTCATGTTTCACTGTCGAAACCTATTGCGCACACCACAAAAGCTGACGCGGCCAATTTTTACTCTAACGCTTATGTAGATTTCCGAAAGGGGGGTTGTGGCCGCTGCTCACGTTGCCTTCTTGCCAAGTGGAAGGATCAACGCCCAGAGAAAGCTCATCACCGCACTGCAGAACCTGCCAAGACAGCGCCCGTGACCAGCAATTGGCAAACTAGGCCTTTGCGCACCTCCATCTCGACGTTTTGTGGGCAAATTCGCCCACGTCCAACAATCCACGAGCCGTTTGTGCTGCCCAGGTCGCGCCTAATCTGACTTTCAGGTTCAGAGGTGTGTCAGGTTCAGGGGTGTGGCTAGGCTGCAGGCACCGTGGCCTCACCAGGTTGGTCGCCTTGCAGATGCAAATAATTGTGTTCGCAAAATTTGTGAAGCCCGTCCTGGTTTGATTTCTGCATGGACCCGGCTGATGACAGATGTCTCTTGCAACCGGTCTGCCTGCTGTCAAAGGGAACCTGCTTCATCAAAAAAACTCAGAAATGGCGTCCTCCAGCAGGAGCCCAGACGCACGCCTATGCGTAACTTGCGGCTTGATTTGTATGTGCTTGAGTTTATGACATCATCCTTAGTTTGAGTGATTCAGCCTTGGATCCCGTCCAAGGACAAGCTTCTCATTCCGGCGGCCAGAGTGCACGCAAATCTCTCCCGTGGGCCTTGGTGAGGCGAACATGAGTTTGCCATCTTTCTTGTGCAACAGCTTTGTAAGCCGCAACTCTCGCCATGAAATCTCATGCAAATCTCATGTTGGGCCACGGCCCACCGGGCCCAGCAGGTAGATTCCTACAGACAATCTAGCACCTAGAAACTTTAACAAGCAGTGACCGTCTGAGCTCCTTAGATGAAGCCAGCAACCACATTTGAAGCGCGGGAAGCTTGGACCCTGCGCAGAATAAATGTTGTGAATTGAAGTACGGTTTGTGTTTGTTGTCCAGGCTACTGGTCATTGGAAAACCGATGAGTGTGATGATAGCGTTTTGCAGGTTTCGGGGCGTATGTTGACCTTATCGTTTCTGGCGAGCGTGTTATCGTTTTCCAACCAAAAAAACCCTCCGGCGTGAATCCAATGTGCATCCATGTCCGCTCGTTGTACTATCTGTCTCCCATGATCGAAAAAGACAACAGCGTGTCAATTGAGATAGAGAACGCCGTCGCCTGGCTGCCATCTTCCCCAGCATCCTCAGAATCTGAGACCTGCCAGTACTGCCCAGGTTTCGGCTGGTTCCTTGTAGCAAGGGCCAGAAAGCAGTCTGCAAGCCTCCATGGCTGCATCAAGCCTGCAAGATTCAGTCTGCACAGTATCACGCACTCTAGACGGCCAACGTCTCAAAAAGCCTGCCAACAAGGGTTTTCACAAAAATGTCTGCCAGAACTGCTCCGACCACTGGAACCTCTCCGAAGAATCGATGCAAGCAGCTCCATTGTGTCACAGGCCAAGGACTGCGCGCTCATGGCATTTCCAGCTCCAGTCATGACATCCTCCATGTGCTCAGCATGTGCTCAGTTGATGTGAATCCATGTTGTCTGAACAGACTGTACAAGACAAAGGGCTGTCCTTGTCACTCAGGCCAGTCAAAGCTTTGGCGAGCAGCGGGTCCCTGCAAGTAGTGAAAACCATGTGCAAACTGAAGTAACTGAAGCATTGGTGGCAATACTTTTTTGAAGCCCTTGGAAGCCATGCCTGGCCGGGAAACCCTGCAGGTGCAACAGCTCCACAGGAAGTATGAACCTCAGCTTGCCACGTGTGTTGCACGAAAACGTTACAGTACGCAAGCCCTTCTGCATCTCGCATTGCCACCTCTGTGTTACCTGCACCACAAACGACCAGCGTCCTCCTCAAATGCCTGATTTGACGCGCTCGGAGGCCTGTTCCCCGTCTCTAATCCACAGCCAACCTGATGGCAAATCCGTGTGGCATCGGCAAACACAACAGCTCCCTCTTTGCAGTCTAAGTAGTGCACTTCTAAGCTGTTGGATCGCGAGGATGGTTCCCAACAAGTTGTCCTGGTGCAGTTTGCATCGGGCATGGGCACGGCACATCATCCTGTAGCGACAGGTGGGAAGCCGAGTTTCGGTGCGCAGGTTGCTGAAGGCCGAGTCGATGGGACGCGCGATGTCTGCACCTTCTCAAGTCTGAACGGCACAAAACAAACCTAGTCTTGGCGCTCAGAGCTGGACAAGCTACTCGCCACTGGGCACTCCTCGAAGTTGGAGGCAATTCAACAAGTGCGGTTCAAAAGGAATCATGCAGAGCCTCGCCTTCCTCGGGCCTTCCAGAGGCACAAACGTGCAGACGCGGCGACGTGGCAGGCAACACACAAGGATCCCGGCCAATGCTTCCAGCTGTTGGTCCTTGCTTGTATGACAAAAGCAACCTCTGCTTTTGCGGAATCATCCGGGCCATCAACAGCTTCAAAAACTTGCACTTCCATCACTTCCACACTTGAGCAACCCCTCCACCTCTTGGAGCCGTTCTCATACACTCAACATCGAAACTACGGACTTGTGCGGAGTCACGATCTTCGTGTCCCTCCACATGAACAAGTGATGGTCCCAGAATGCACGAGGAAGAGAATCAGAAAATCTGAGCGAGCGCCGCCAACGCTTGAGTTTGGGCAGTTTACCGGGAAATGAGGCGGATGCAACATTCAAATTTAAGAGGTATTGTTCTTTGCGAGTCCTGCAATTTAATGGATGTTTGCGATGATAATGGACATGATCTGGTGTGGAAAGAGGAATAGATAAGCACCCAAGGATTGTCCAAAGGAGCCCACGCTTGGCACATTTGCATGAGGAGCAGCTACGCAGTGCTACGCATTTGACAGTTCTTGCATGTCGACGAAATAGCAAGGAACGCTGTGGGTTCCAAATGTTGCACAAGGTGCCAAGCATTTGGAACTGTTGTTGGTCAAGGAAAGACATCCGAGGGGCGACGTGGATATTGGGCCCATGTCCACACCTCCACATTTCTGCCCCATGAATAATGAGACGCTTCTAGACTCTAGACCTACAATTTTGAGTAGGAATCTGGCATGGAAAGCGTCGATCAGTTTGACCTGCTTACCCCTGATAGAAACTGAATCCAGACCGTAGATAAGGATCGTTAGGAGAATCCACTGAAAAATATAGGCTAAGCGCTACCCCGATTCAATTGTCCCAGGAGACATAGCCCATTCATGTTTGATTTGCGTTGTGGGCGGGATGTGGATTCCATCAGAGAAGTATCAAGTTGGCATTTCCAAGTCGGGGGGTCGGAGGAGCTCTGTCCTGGTGTGGTCAAGGAATCTGCCGCAAAGTTGAGCTTGCGTTTCAAGTGCTCTTAGCATGAGGTGTGGCTGCGTTGCGGTCAAGATTAAGAAAGCTTGCCATCCACGTAGTCTAAATTGTACATAGGCCTAAGGCTGAGACGGGCTCGCAAGTAAGCTGATGTAAAAATGCGCCTGTGCATGCAGCGCTGTACCAAAGCCACCTGCACATGCATTAGAATACCTTACCATGCCTTACGGCCTTGCAGGATACGCGGAGCACTCTTGAGTATCTGAATCGTAAGTCGTGCGAATGTATTAAATGGTGTAGTTTGGGAAAGTTGCGCAAGGGAAAAGGTGTTCGCGCCATTCTGACTGCAGCACACCATGCAGTAAGGGTCACAACACCGATTGAAGCATGAATGTCTGCTTCTCATGGCGGACTACAGTAGCATGTCATGGAAGCCACACGATGTTCATCAAAAGTAGCAGTCCGCCAGACGGCCAGGACTTTTAGAAAGGTGTCTGTGACTTGTCCTTCTGGCGGAAACGGAGCAAACAAGGCGAACACCTTGTTGATGTGCGCCATGGCAAATACATGATACAGTCTAGATTGCCAATCCATGCCCAAAAAACAAAGACGCCCTGCAGGCAAAAAAGTCAGACAACCGCAAAAGCAGGCATATGGGATTTATAAATGTTGATGAACTGGGGGCATGTGTCATGTCATCCCATCCATTATACGAAGTCAGGAAATTGATCATTCGGCTCAGGTGCCGCTGATCCGCGCTCGACACACAGCGATCACGCTCGCCGCATCTCGCTGGCATACTTGCAAGGTTTGCGCGATTTGTTGACGGAGTTGTTCATCAACGTTTAGCTCAGAAAGGGCGAGCAAGTTGCACGTAAGGCTTGAGGCACGATACCACAGAAGGACACAAGGAAACTTTCCGAGGCTGATCTTGGGCTGAGGTCACGATTTCAACAATCTCAAAAAACCCGCATCTATACAAGCCAGGGAAAAACCCAGTGGGAGAAAAACCCTGGCAGCGGTGAGGTGAAATGCAAAAGAGTCTATCATAAAAGCCCTGCACCCTCTTCCCAACCGGCCCATAACCGAAACAACCAAGCCTCAGAACCAGAACCAACCAACCAGCCCACAAGGGAGGGCTGGTGTGCCCTTGACATCAGCTTGCTCATAAATAAAGGTTCGAAACATTTCGCGTAACTGTTAACCAGCTGCCACACCATCTTGGGAAAGCCAAGCAACATACTTGGCTTTCTTCATCTTGAAATTCTCAGGCACCTTGCAAAGCAAGTCGGAATCTGACATCTCCGCTGAGCACAACCTGCCCGCTCCCCCGGCAGGCCTCCGTGTAGCGACTAGGAACACGATCGGGCCGGACAAGCCAGTCCTCGTTTGTTGCTCTATTCACTTTTTAAGGCTTTTGGCGTTCACTTTCCTCCAGCTTCGCGCCACTGACATGTTTCGGCCTGATGCACGTGCTCAAGCTTCGCGATTGGCAGGGCATGTCCCTAGCTTGTCCGCACGCCCTTGCAAAGGAAGGCAATATTTTGCGAGCTCGCCGCTTGGCCTGAAGAAAAACTCCAAGTCTCTCAGACACTTGCTCCAATAGTGCCGGCATACGTGGCATTTCAGGCGCACGGCCTGCTGCCTCTGCAACGCTAGTCCAAGTAGCCACAGGACAACCAGCAGTCGTGTCTGCAGCACCTGCCGCTAGACAGACTGCCATGCGCCATCGGCCACCGAGAGAAAGCACAGCCGGCAAGAGAGAGAGCGGATCCTGCCTCAGCGAATGCAAACGCATCCTTGAGAGCAGGCTCAATGCCATCGACCATTTAAGGGCAAGCGATGCTGCAGTCAAGCATGCCCCAAACGATGCATGCTGCGAGGCATCTCCACGCAAAGTGGAAAGCAAAGCTACGGCACACTGCCAAAGTAAACCTCGCACACTGGCACTGATTGCCGTGTTGACGGAAGTTGCATCCGGTTGCAGGAAAGCGAAGCTCGAACGGCTCAGCAAGTCTAGAGAACGCTGCCAAGACTGTGCTCTCTCACAAGCTGCCATGGTTGTCCCAAAACTTACATCATCTCTGTCGTTTGCGCGAGCCGAGGTTGCTGCTGTTTGTAGCTGTGACATAGCTAGCAAACTTTCTGCCCACCTTTCGCATCTTGCAAACACATTTAGCAGCGAGTTCAGTGTGACCAGGGTAGGGCTGATCCGTTGGCAGCACATGCTCGCTAAGACTTCGCTGGCTCCCTGCCAGCTCATCGTCTTTCCTAATGTTAGAATGAGAGTGTTACTCCCAACGGCATCCAGGGTGACCAGGCAAGGCCCTGGATCTGAAAAGAGTTCAAGAGTGAAGCTCCATGCCGAGGATTGGGTAAAACAACTTGCCGCTGCATTCCTTGCGATGCATGTCACAGGTCCAGCAGACCATGACAGGGCTTGCAGACCCTGCAAACAAGCAGACCAGTTCAGGGCATGGCCACAGGCTGTCATTTGCACGACAAAGCTAACAACATCCGGCTGCAGTTTGGTGGACGACCCGAACAGTAGTTGGAGAGCTCCTGGCCAATGGTCTGATACTTTCGTTGCTGCTGCATGTGCTGCCGTATTCAGCGCCACCATGGTTTTGAACATGCCCGCATGCCCCATTACGTCCAGCATGTGCACACCTGCGCTCCACTGAGACGCTTTTGCGAGAGCAGCTTCAACGGTCGCGTAGACGTGTGCATCTGGTTCTTGCTGAACATCTCGAAGCCGCCTCAGCAGCCAATAGCTGTGGATCCACAGCCGGTATGATCTTGCGCATGCGCTCGCCAAGAACAAATTGATGCGGAGACTGCTGTGCCGCGCTTGTGAAAGAATGTGGATGGCCTGAGGCCACTGGGTGTTTCTGGCAAAGCTCACGGCCCGAGAGGCCAACCCAAAGCCATCACGCTTTACAGCAAAGCTTGACAGCTTGAGATTTCCAGTTGCCATGCGTGTACATGGCCATGCTTCCCAATCCTGCCACCCATTGGGTTTGGCAGTGCTGGGACTAATGACAGCGGCGTCAACAAAAGCAAAACTGGACAGATGGCCAGCAGCTAGCAGAGCCAAATGCACCCGGCCCCCAAATGTCCTGTCCAAAAACTCTCTTTCCGATTCCTGCCCGAATCTTAGGCTGCTGGGCCATCTGCGGTTTGCAGAAGGTCCGCTTGCGCCTCAGCTGAGGCATCGATTTTGCTATTGTGGCTTATCATGCTTACCCTCCCTTATCCTCATGTCTTAACCTTATGATTCAGAAACGAGAGCATTGCAGAAGCTAATGACAACTGAATTGCGAACAACTTCTCCATTTAGTAATCCGCTGAGGCCGGAGGCCTTGGGCGTTTAGATCTAAGGACCCCACATAAGGGATGTGTTCCCAGCCCCTCTCCATGGATGCACCACCTCGAAAGGTGCTTTTCGCAAGGTTTCTGGTCATTTTGGAGGTTTGGCCTGGGGTCCAGGTTGATTGCTGGTCAGCACGTAGGTCGTAGGTCACTCGCGGCAATTAAAATATCTTGCGGTCAGGATGGTCAGGAGCACCCTGGGAAGTTGTCAATGGAACTCTGGGGCTGAGCCGGGCCCGAGGCATCTGCATGGACTTGTGGACACCGACAAAGTAGACACGCTGCCGAGATTGAGGAAGCGAGTAGTCCTGACCGCAACTAGGAGATCATGCTTCGCCAAATTGCGATGACGTCCCAAATGAATGCGCGCTCTGGAGCCAAAATATGAGGACGTTCCATTCAGAGCCAGCATGAGAGGAAGTGCGTGATTTGAGTATGGGATGCGCTCCATGCGGGATGATCCCAAATTGATGATGACACTATCAAAGCGAGACTACTGTCAGAAGAATGATAACCGCACAAAGACAAGACGGATGACAAAACAGCCAGGATGACGCTCATACCACTATAGCCTATAGCAACACAACCATGACACTACCATCAATTATAATGACACAGACAGATAGAGATATATATATATATAGATATAAATATATAGCTTTCCAGGAAATGAGCTGAGACCTCCGGGACTTTCTGACGTTTCCCAAGGCTTAAGCTTCAGAACTTTCAAAAAAAATGTAAAAGCATTTCCAGAAAGTCGTGGAGGTCTCAGCTCTTTTCCTAAAAAGCTTTGAATTTTGGCCATGTAGTTTTACCAGCTTTTTCTAAAGTAAAGTCTGAGCTGTACAATGGTGAGAAACAATGGTGAAGCCGTCTTTTTCTGAACTTCTTGAGGAAATAAACTGACACCTCCCAAGACTCTCTGGACCAAGCTTTGCATTTTTCGAAATGTTGCCAGTACCAACTCTTTCTCATGTTTCGAATGGGAGCTTTCACGAGAAGCTGACTGTACCGATTTTTTTGTTCATAGTAAGCCCACATGTAACCCCTAATTTGGAACTATGAAAGGTAGGCTCTACCTAGTCAGCAGAAGAGGCAGGCTGCTACCAATCCTTTTCCCGCAGCTAAAAGTCTGGCTGAAGATCTTGCGGTCACATACACATGCAGATGGCACCGATACACATGTCAGCTTTCCACATCCCCTTTTATAATTTTGTTGCATGAGGCCTATAGAAGGAAAGCTCACAGGTGCATCGGCTTCGGGCTGAAAAAGGTCACCAACACAGGAACCCGTTCTGTCAGGAGTCCATGCTGGTTCGGCAGTGCTGAGTACTCTGTGCTCTGCTCAAGGCACCGCCACTGACACTGGCCTGACGGCAGTAAAAAGCGACCGTAGGTCGTCCTTAAAGGAAGCGAGGTCGCCGAAAAGCGAGGGTGAAACTCTTCGCGTCAAAGGCCACATTGATGCCCATGCCATCGATCTGGTGCCAGCCACGTAGCTCGCATAGCCGCAGCAAGTGCCCCATGACTGGCTCGCTTCCCACCAGGGCTTCACCAGGTAGTTCACGAGTGGAAGTCGCCACAGGAGGCTTGGCACGCCCCTTCGAAACTTGCTTCACAAACTCCGGGCTGTACTCCACAGACCAGTGGCCTTCGGCCAAGATCTTCCGCATGTGGGACAGGTCCATGTCCTTCGTGCCGGAGTCGACCCACATGTTTTCCGTGGAAGTCCAGCGCAAGACAGTGTTGGGCCTCCTGAGCACAGCTCGCAGCCAAGCCACCGTGAAGGCGAGGGACTTCTGGCTTCCGAAAGAAAACGTGTCGGAGTTGGCCTTGTCGTGGACATCCTTCGCATCCACCACCACCGTCAAACCAACGCTGTTCAGGCTTCTGTCCACATCCTGACGCTGGAGAGACAGGCCGCGAAGCGAAGCCACAAAGCCTCTGCAGAGCTGCCCCACGTCGAAGGCTTCTTCAGCTCCGAGAGTCTCCGCTGCGTAGGAAGACCGGCATACTCTCGGTATGCGGTGGCTCCTCATGTCCAGCACGTTGAAGGAGCCAGGCCGTCCTTGCATCAAGTTCTCGTCTGCCAGGAGCACGTAGTAGCAAGACTGGCTGTAGACCTTCTCGAGCGCAGCAGCAGCCGCCGAGCCCGTGTCAGTGACGTTGCCGAGGGAGGAGTCAGTCACCACCATCAAGCCACCCGCCAGAGGGTTCACCGGACGGAACACCAGCTCGAAGTGCTTGGTCAACTTAAACTCTTTGCAGAGCAGGTTGGCTCTCAACAAAGTCCCAACAGTTGGCTTCTCACCCTGGAGCGAAGAGACCTGGAAAGCAAGGTCGAAGCGGACCTGGGCAACCAACCACTGAAAACTTCCAAGCAAAGCGCGGAGTTGCCGGTGTTCAGGAGTCGTCAAGGCGGAGTCTTGCTCTGCACGACGCGCCCGAGGGACGAACACCTCCTTGAGGTTGTCGTGGTACTCCACCATGCTCAAGGTGATCGTGCCGTTGCTCTTTCGGAGAAAGCGTTTCCCACACCAAACAAAGTCATTCCGCTGCACGTCCCGGAATCCCAGCATCTCGCCAACTTGCATCAACAGTCGCTCTGCAAGGCTGTCTCCGCCAAAGAGCAGGTCGTCGACGTGGCTCACTATGATTCCTCGGAGTTTCTTGGGGTCTGCTTTGTCTCACAGGAACCAACAAGCCTGATCGATTGACGATCGAACCCAGCCTAAACTCTCGAGGCTTTTGGCTAGTTTGAGCCACCATTGGCGTGGCGCATCGGCGAGGCCGAATACGCCCTTCAATATTTTTGCCACACAGCCGGTGGGCAATGGTATTGAAGGTGAGGTGCGGGGGTTTGTCCGAGAAATGTACAATTCTCGAGCAACAAACTTGTCCCCCTTGAGGAACGCAGTTTTGACGTCACAGGATAAGAGGTTCCAGGTTGCCCCCATCCATGCCGTCATGCTCAAAAGCAAGTGCTGGCTCGCGACTGGTGCATCCCTTCTGATTTGTCCATCTAAGTTCGCGCGATCCTTAAATCCAGGGACGACAAGACGCGCGGATGGCTCAGGAGGGAGCGGACAGCTGTCTGTCCTGATGCCGTCTTTCTTGTCTGTGCACACAAATCTCGGAGTGAGCACACGGTCTAGCTCTCCTGCCTTCGCTAGCCGTCTGCGGACTGCAAGGCTCTCTTCTAAGGACAGGATCTTGACGGCATCATTCTCCAAGTAAGCAGCCCAGCCTTTCTCAGCTGCACGGCTCCAAAGCCGTTTGTCGGCCTCGCTCATCTTGGCCCATTGGTACTCTCTGCGAGCTAACGCGGCATTGACTTCACTCAGCTCGCCAGGCACCCCAGTAGGCAAAGGAGTTCCGAGAGCTCGAAGTGTCTCGTGTTGCGACCTCGAAGGCAAGGACCGGCGTCCATCCCACGTTCCATGGTCTGGTTCTGCTCCGAAACACTCCAGTGGCCGTTGCTTGTCCAGCTCAGCCTGGGCTTGCACTTGTAGTAGAGGATGAAGCGTGTCCACGTTCAGCACCATATGGCTCAAGTCCTCGTGCGACAAGTGGAATCCTTCAAAGCTGTGACGGACTGTCAACACCGAGCGCTCTTGCCCGTCTGCCTGGCTGACACCTGCAGCAGCTATGGAAGGACCCCCGGCAGGTTCAGAAGAAGGTTGAGGTAGTACATGAGTTTCCATGGGACCATCACGGCCAGGTACTGAAACACTGCTAGGTTCACGAAGTAGAGGCCCGGCAGGTTCAGAAGAAGGTTGAGGTAGTACAGGAGTTTCAGGGAGCACACGGCGCATCGTCTGCGGGGGGCTCCGAAGCTGCAAAGCTCGACCTCCTGCTCGGCTCCGACGATTCACCACCTCCAGGCTCCGATTCACTTCTCCTTTTCAGGCCTCGCTCCAATGCCGACCTTTGCATAGTCGCCCTCAACTCAGCTGCAAAGTCCGCCGGCTGACCTCGTTGAAGAGCACGTTGTCGCAGGTCGGCTTCCAAAGGTTGTCCTCGAGCTCGGCTCAAGGCTTGTTGTAACACAGGACGGTCAAGGAGACCGGGGCTTTCAGGAGCCGCACCAGCAGGGACATCAAACAAGTGTTTAACCGGCGTTCCAGGAGCTGCCGTCAACGATGTCGGGGTGTCCACGTTGGCCGTCGTCTGCGACGAAGTCGGCGCCGCACCAACGTCCACACTCTCGTCCACCGCCGCCTTTGGGTCGATCTCGTTCTCCGGGATGCTGGGCAACGCCTGGTCTGAGTCCACCGCTGGCGCCGGTTGAAGTCGGTCTGTAAGTTCTCGAATGGCCTCCTCCCACGTGTTCGCCGCCAGTTGCTCAAGTGAAGACGCGGCTCGTACGTGTTCCAAAGCACACTTGGTGACCTGGCCCTTGAAGCTAAGAAAGGCATTGACCGGGGCACCACCGCTCAAGCCGCCTTCAAGGCACAGGAGAGTCGCTGGCCCATGCCATCGCTTTAGTTCCAACCTCCGCCGCCGGCTCGAAGTCGACAAGTTGGGGTCGCCACGCTTGGAGTTCACCTTGGTGGCTCGCCAGAAGTACACGGCGTCACCAGGCAGAGGCGGAGCAGTCACAGTCGGCTCTCGGCTTCGGGCCAGCTCAGCCTTGCGGGTGCTCTGGCTGTAGTGGAGGCGAACCATAATAGCAACACGCGCAGATTCTCGAAGGGCAATGCGCTGAGTGAGGTTCGGCTCGGAGTCGATCACCATGTTCGGCCAGGCGCCCAGCAAAGTTGTTGAGCACCGATCCTTGGTTGGCAGGTTGTCGTCCAGTAACGGCTTGCAACGGCGACACTCCCTCTGCATTGGGGTCGGAGTTGTAGGCCGAACAAGCTTCGCCCACCGCCGAACACATGGAAGCATGCCCAATCACGGTCTGGTCCACCACGCAGGAGGCAATCAGGCTTTTAAGGATCCCGCCGCTTCTTTCCGCCACGCCGTTCTGCCACGGCGCTTGTACGGCGGAGTGCCACAACATAATGCTGCGGCTGCTGCACCAAACTTGCATCTCCTCTGAAATAAATTCTCGACCCTGGTCCGCAACAATTGTCCTTGGTGCACCCAGGATCGGCAGCCACATCTCACTCAGGAATGCCGTCACCGATGCCGTAGACCTGTCAGGAATGACCCGAGCTAGCTGGTATCGTGACACAGCGTCAGTGGCATGAACAACAACGTAGACGTTCCCCACAGCGTCGTCCACCATCAGGAGGTCCACGCGGATCTGCTCGCCAACTGCACGGGGAGGAGGTAAGCCTGCAACGCGACGGCTTTTGGGAGCTTTCCGCTCTTGGCATACATCGCAACGAAGCTCGCGAGCCGCCTGCACCGCTGCCGGAGGCGCACCTGAAAGAAGCAGTGCCCGAGCCAAGCGTTTTGGGGGTCGATGCCCTGTCGCCTCATGCACACCGAACAGCCGAGCGCACTGCTGCCGTGACCTCTTCCTTGAAGGGCTCGCCAAGGTCCGCGTCCGAGTCGGAATCGTAGTCGCCCGCGTCCTCTGCTAGCACCGTGGTAGAAGTCCACCGCGGAGTGGCCGCCCACAACCTCAAAGCACTCCGACACCTTCACCTCGCGGTCCGCCATCGCCGTCTCGAAGTCGAACTCGGCCTCGAAAGCAATAACTAGCTTCTCCGCAAACTTCCGGGTGTAGTGCCCCGCAGCTGTGGTAATGGCTGAACCACCCATGGTCGGCTCACGCGCATGCCTCCTGGTGCAGCGGCTTCCAAGCAGGGCTGACACCACCGACTGGCTTGAGGTCAATATGCGAGTAGGCTTCTTGTGCCGGAGGCCAGACGGACCTCGAAGGTCGAAGCGGCACATGTCGATGGGCACCTCCCGGGTTCTGGGGTCACGTCGAAGGGCCAGCAATGAAGGAGTCTTCCAAGCACCGCTGCTCAAAGGATTTTCAATGACAAAGTGCCGGTCAGCGTCCAGTTGCCAATCGGCAGGCAAAACGCACCAAAGGAAGAGCTTCCGCCTGCCGCCGAGCCACATTGCCAGTCTCCCCATTCAAGTTCTGAAGTGGCGACCAGGGCCCACAAGGAAAAGCAATGACCACGAAGTACGGCTTCTCACGTTGACCATCTCCAACGCCAGTTGCCGATGCGATCGGAGGGCAAAGTTCCATCCGCTGTCCAAGGTCATGGTCGTCCCGGTGGTATGGCCTCGGGACCGAGCAGGGATGCTGATGGCTCGACAACGCCCTGGACGCATGACCCAGTTGAAGAACGCCGCGATCAAGGAGGAGGCGGAGAAGCTGGCGAAGGAGAAAGACCGCCTCAAGGTGGCGAGGACTTTGCTTGGGCCTCGCGGCGGCCTCCCGACTCTGAAGGGCGACCTGGTCAAGCTGGCGCAGCTCCTGCGCACCGAGGTCAAGGAGAACCTCGCCGTCGACTTTGGGCCCCTCTTCGAGCACTACGGCAGCGACATCGACCCCAGCCTTGTTCGGGAGTACGTCGACGAGATCTCAAGCAACCATGGATGCCGCGGCCGAGGTCCCCAGGAATGCTGTCACGTCTCCGCCGGCGGCGAGCCCAGAATCGGTGCTGCAGGTGGTGGACGCGAGGATGGCGGCCATGGACGAGCGCTTCCAGGCTATGTTCTCCCAGGTGCTGCGCCACGTGATGCAGATGCAGGCGGGCTCGATGACGGCGCCAGCTGCGGAGCCGAGCGAGGACGCCTTGATGACCGAGGCGGGTGTGGCCGATTGGGAGCTCCTCGACCCCAGGATCGAGAGCAAGGGGGTGCTGGACGACTGAAGCCAGGACAGCGGCTGCTCCTGAGCCAAGCTTGGGATCGACGTCGGCGAGACCAAGTTCTGATATCCTGTTCGGCAAGGCAGGTTCGCAAGGCGATGGCCGATGAGCACAAGCAGTTGTACATGAAGGGGATCCACGAGGCCTTTGTCATGGAGATTCCGATTGTGTGCTCTGAGGTGTTTTCCGACACCGAGCCCGTGGTCAGAGCTGCTCAGCCAAGATCGGGTCCTCGCAGAAGGCCAAGGAAAGTCCCACTCGCCCTCTGCTCCAGGCCAAAAGACTCAAGTTGCTGGCAGTGAACGAGGCTCGGACCAGCCACTTCCGGGTCGATCATGGCTTCCGCTTGCATGCGCCACTGCTCCACAGAAGACACCGAAGGATAAGGCCAGGGCAAGTATCGAAGCCCGGGCTGCCTGACGAACCAAAGCAGGACGCCTTTGTAGCTCCACCTTGCTCGATGCCAAAGCCGAAGGACCATCCTTCGCCACTTTGCCGTGAACTTCAGGAGGGCCTCGTCCGCCGCGCCGAGCTCGCCGAAGTTGCTTCGCCCCAACTCGCTTCCAGGCGCCTGCGTGGGCGCCATCGCCGAAGTCGCCATCATCCAAGGAGGGCACAGAAGTGGAAGCAGTGGGGCTGTCGTCCGAATTTGCGGCGACAAGGTCGCCAAACATGTTGCTTTGAGCCAAGGCCGTCAGCACCGAGTGAAAGTCAAAGGCAAGACGACCCAACTCGAGGCTTGCTTCAGTCATGTTGTGGCTGTTCCCCTCAAGCTTTGCATCAGCAGACTGCGATCGAGAACGAACTTGCATCGAGCGCCTTTCCCAAGCCCTGCAGCCCAGGCAAACTTCCAAAACACCATCTGGTCCAAGCTTGCGACGCCGCCCTTTTCCAGGCTCCGGCCAAGACTCGGGAATCAGCTTCAAAGCTAAGCTAGGTGACCCGCTGCCAGCCGCTCCAGAGCCGTAGCGCCCTCGCCGAAGATCTTGCACACCAAGGTTCGAGCCGAGAAATCCAGCGCTCCTTGAAGTCCATCAAGCACGTCTCGCCCCAGAAGCAGCCCCAGCGAAGGCACTTGGACAGCCGAGACCCAGACACAGACAAGCTCGCTGGAGATCACGATCGGGATCCGCCACCGCAGCGCCGAGGGCAGAACCCCTCCGTTTCCAAAGCGGAACGTCTCCGTCTCGACCTTCGTGGTCACCAGCTCCTTGATGAAGTCGGGCGCCGCACTCAGCTGAGCCACATAGTCCTCCAGCCATGCCGTTCCAGCAAACGTTCGGTTGCAGGCGCTGTCCAAGGCCCCGACCGCCGACTTGTCCGCCGTCCAACACCTCCCGCGCCGCTGAAGAAGGAGTCAAGGAGGACTGCAAGGCCGTCGACAAGGACCAGGAGACGGCCATCATGACCTCATTCTTGGGCACGGCTTGTTCAACCTGAGTTGCTTCGTGACCCGGGGTGGCTTCAGCGATCCTGACCTGACGTCCAGCTTTCGGCTTTGGTCTGGCAAGCCAGGCCCCAGGATGCTTACACTCAGGGTCTCCTGCCCAGTGGCCTCCCTGTCCGCGATCAAAACACACATGCTTGCCGGAGGCCTTCTTGGCCGCCACTGCCGCCGACGCCGACTTGGCTTTAGGTCTGCCCGTCGCCGAAGGAGAAGTAGTTGAGGGATGCTTGTAGCCACGGTCTTTGCGAACCTCGGCCAACTTCGACCTGGCTTCTCTCACGCTCACCAAAGCTTCTGCCGACGCCTCGATCCCGCTCTCCAGGGCTTCCAGGTGAACGGGGTCAACGCCCTCCGCTTCCGCCTCGGCAATCTCGCCCGCCAAGTGCTCAACCTCGGCTTGCAGAACTTCTTCCAAAGTGGTCTCGCCCTCCCGGTCCTCCTGCGTCTCGCCGTCGTCCACGACCTCGTCCACGTCCTCGTCATCCTCCGCCTCCGCCACGTGCGCTTGCCGTGGTTGAAAGCTCCTGAAGGAAGGCCGCATAGCCGAACTTGCCGTAGACGCCGTCGAAGGCCTCCGCACCGAAGTCGCCGTAGACGAAGCCGCCGAAGAAGGAGCCGAAGAGGCTGAGGTGAACATCTTCTTGATGGTAAGCCGGGAGTTGCCGCCTGCTCTCTCAAGGCGTCTATACAGCGGGTCCTGAGAGCGCAAGTCCCTGAACAGCCGGAGGCACTCAGCTTCAATCACGGAGTAGGACTCGGACCCCTGCAAGGCCGTTTCCAGAAGCTGCTTCCTCAAGGGGTCCAGGCCGATCTTCTCCTTGAAAAACCAGCCAAGCTCCCCCTCGGGCAAGACAACACCCTCGGCCTTCAAAGTCCGACACCGCCGTCCGAAACCGACTCGCATAGTCAGCGACCCGTTCCCCAGCACGCCGGGCCAAGTGAAGGTAAAACTGGGTTCGAAGCTCGCCCCTCTTGTCCAAGGTGCTCTGCCCATTCATGGCTTCCAAGGCTGCCAGCAAGCCGAACAGCAAGTCCTCGGGCTCGTCCACCAAGACCTCGCCAGAATCCGGATCCGTGAGCGTCACGGCTTTCTTGAAGGCCAGCTCCTCGGGGTTGAACTCCTCTCCTCTTTGGCGCACTATGCCCGACTGCCGAAGCAGCCAGCGCGCCGCCAGGTTGTACTTCCTCGTGCTCTCCAAGTCGAGGCTGCAAAGCCACCAGGACATCTCTCTCCTGAAGGTCCGCCAGGTGAGCGGGCTGCCGTCCCATGTTGGGACGTGGCTCCAAGCACCATAGCCACCTCCATCTTCCTTTGCGTCCGGCATCTGTCGAATTTCACAGGCACGGTAGAAACAAAGCCTGCTCCACCAGTCACGACCTCCAAGGCCCTTGAGGCCCAAGCAGCCGTCAAGGCTCGCGCAGCCCGGAGAATCGGGTAGCCGAGCAAGATCAGAAGGAACACGAAGCGGCGGCGGCCAGCGCAGCAGCAAAGCAGCGGAGACAGCGCAGCAGCAAACAGCGGCCCAGGGCGACCAACTCAGGCTCCGGTGCCACTATGAAAGGTAGGCTCTACCTAGTCAGCAGAAGAGGCAGGCTGCTACCAATCCTTTTCCCGCAGCTAAAAGTCTGGCTGAAGATCTTGCGGTCACATACACACGCAGATGGCACCGATACACATGTCAGCTTTCCACAGGAACCCAAGATGCAGGGCCACGCTGAGGCACATACTGGAGCAGACAAGAAGGGGACAAAGGTGGGTCAGTGGCAGGGGGTACCATGAGATTCAAGAATCAGGACAAGGGTCTGCAAGCGGGGCAATTGTAAGAATGAAAGCATGTGATGAAACTTGATTCAAAAGGGTCCTAATAATGAAAAATGACAAAATGTGCTGAGGGATTATGACAGAATAATGAGACATGAGGCGAAATCACGAATATGTTCAAAAATGATGAGATACCATAGAACTTAAGTGACTATTTCACACAAGATGTATTTTGAAAAGTGATCAAGAATAATCAAAACTGGTGCCAATGGATGAAGATGATGACAGCATGTGATTTGTCAAGCAACAGTGGGGCAGGGAGAGGGGGGGGGGCAGGGGGGGTGGGGGGGCAGGGGCAGGGTGGGGCGGGGGCAGGGCGGGGCGGGGGGGAAGGAGGGGGGGGGGGTGATGTAAAAAGTAGGGCCCCCTAAGGGAACCCACTATAAGCCTACGACAATACT